GAGACATGATATATCCTGTTGCATGGAAGAATTTCAATCTTAATTTATTAGTTTCAAAATGCAAAATCGATGACTAGAGGTTACTTGTAATGCAGGTTATGGGAGAGGAGCCGAACAAGAACTATTTCTCTTTGTTATGGGTAATGCCGAAGCTCATAAATGCAGTTTGGGAGCTAATTAGGGGTTTCCTCATCCCATATGTGAAGGGTCCAGAATACAGAGAAGGTTGGTTCATGATAGGCTGGAGGATGGTTGGATTGGTAATACCAGGATTGGCAGCTCATGCACCTCAAGATTACGTCAATAGTACCCGATTGGGATCCTTACCTTCGGATCTTCACCAAGTACTTGAAAGAGATTAAGATACTAACGCAGCCAACCACTAGCTCATTATGTTTGGGTTGCTTGTAAGAATAGTCTTTGACAAAAGATATGGACACATCATAGGCTATTTATGAAGGAATAACAGATAGACACTGCGGGTTTATTGTTTAGAGCAATTCATCAAGAGAACAGGCAATGACAGAAATGGAAGTTTCATATGCTTTGTAGGGAGACAATAATTAAGAAATATTAATATTAATGATATCATATAGATAGTATTCCTCTTTCCTTTCAATTTTTTATTAATGCAGTAGGCAGCAGCTTATTCTGAGTCTTGCCTTCCTGATATTATAAGATTGCAATAGAAAAGTTATCATGCTTCAGATCAATACTTTATGAGATGTTAGATGGAGATAAAACAGATCAGTGACATTTTCATTAGTGGGGCAAACTGTCACAGCGGGAAAAATTTATACACTATCACACATACCTACATGCAAGCATGCAAGATTTATTAGTAGAATGTTCAGGAAATACTTGAAATTCTAGGATATGGCAATTGAGGGGTTGCATCTTATCCTTGATATTGATGGAGGCAGCGGTGCTTGAGTCATACAAAACTGCAGTCACCAATTTGTCAATGTAGAGACTAGAGAGATGCTTCCTGTATAATGTTCTTGTTCATCTCTAGTGATCATTCCACTTAAACTGGTCAGCAATAAGATGAATCTTCTGTAAGTATCATAATATATATCTTTAAGTGCAGGAGAAAAAACTATATGACTTGAATATAAGATCTTTACCTAAACCCCAAATCCACCCCATTCTGTTATAGAAAAGGAAACTTTTGGGTATTACATGGAGAGATGCATCTCTAATGCTTAAATTGAAAATGCTGTTTTCCTATGAGAGCAACTGAGGTCTATGACAGGTGTGCATTTTTCTTTTCCTCTAGCCAAAATAAGAAACTTGTTCTGCATTTTGAAATTTAAAGCACCTTTTCTCTTAGTTGACAGTTCTCACAACAGCAATTCATTTTTATTAAAAAAAAAAAAATAGAGGGAGATTTTTAAACAAAAAGAAAACTTGAAGCAAATTTACCTGATATTTGAGGTCAACCAAAGGGCATCAACAGATAGCTAAAAGAAGAATTAGAAAGCATAGCAGGTAAAGCAACCACTTAGTGAACCCATCTGGCGAGTTCTACAGAAAGATATAATGCCACGGGAAGTCCTTGCAACTTGATTGGCCTGGTTAGCTAACATAGAACTCCTCATTTCTTGGGCTTTCTTTTGAGCTGATCTTAGCTTATTCATTATCTTATCCATTGATGATGACCTCTTCTTTTCCAGCTTCATCTGAAACAATATTATTGGATCAGTAACGGCCAATTCACTAAGCATTGCATCCACTTCTATAGATCATGAATCAACAATCTTTGAATACTAGGCATAAACTACCAATCTACAAGCCAGATGTATGATCATATATCTCTTGCATTTTCATGCTTTTATTTATGATATCATCTTCTTTCCTTTCTGATTTTTAATTAATACTTGACAGACTTTTATAGAACTGAAAGTCTTCCTATAATCCTATGGGAAAGAGATAAAAAGAAAGCTTGATGGTATGTGGAAAGAAGTCTGGGATACCAAGAACATTGTTAATTTTCTTTTGATCCAATCTTAGCAACAAGCAATTAAATTTCCCCAAAAATTGAAACCATCTACTTAATTCTACCTTATGAGATTGTTATGTGACAGATTTGATACCACCATATTAATACTAGACAAATAAAAAAATGTTACTACATTTGGTACTGGAAAGAAAATTTTTTTTGTTATGGTATCAACATTAATCTTTGGCTTCAGTATCTCTTAACAATCACTTAGAATTGTGAAATCAGACATTCAAGAAAAGAAAAATTACCTCTAGTTTCCGTATTGCTGCCTCAGCTTTTGCCTTCTGCAGATTCTCCCATGCAGTGATTTTAGCTTCTTCTCTTTTGATCCTGCAAAAGTAAACGAGGGGAAAAATTGACATATAGAAATTTGTTCAATCTGTTTAAGCAGTACATTGCAACCATCTGAATGGCCTCCTATGATGCTATTATTACCTGGTTCAAATAAAGAGAAAAAAATATTTATCTTGATTGGAAAAATTTTTTTGGTGTTTTGTTCAACAGATAGCATAGCGGTTGACAAATATTGGTTTGTTCATGACCTTAATGCAATTTTGTTATTAGAGTTCAAGCCGCCCTACTTATTTCCAAAGCTGTCCTGAACTATTTAATCTCATAAACTGACCCAAAATTGAAGTGAACATAAGTTATGTTAAAGCGGAGGGGACATACTTGGAAATGTTCTTTGCCGTATCTGATACATCCCAGGCTGATGCCTGAACATCAACAGCTTTCTTTCTCCAGTCATCAATAATATCTGATCTTTTAGTGGGGTTTCGGGCCCTATTCTTCTTTGACCACCTTGTCATGGTAACCCTGTCATCTACCTGCACATCTCTCACTTCTGATTTATGGGCTTGTACGCTTTGCATTTCTACCATAGGTAGAGCAGACAGGGTGGAAGGCGAGAAAGGACTTTCTTCAGGAGATGAGTGAGCACTACCCTGTGGGCTCATTTGGGTTGCCATGTCTCTTCTTGAAACATCACGACAAATATCAGTGCCTGCATCCTTGACACAATCAGGCTTTTCATCTGCAAGAGTAGAAGTATGCAGGTTCAGCAATTGGCATGATGGCACCCTCCTCTCAAGAAGATAGATGGCGAGAGTGAAAAAGAATATCCAAATGTAAACAAATATCTTTCCTATGATTAACTGTGTTGCATTGAGAAAGGAATGTTAACCTCAATATTGACAATGGATGAATATTGAGAAACATAAACTCACTCCGATTATGTCTTCTTGTCTAGTTGCCTACCAACCTGACAACTTCTTCGAAGTTTCAATAAATCCTAGGCATTTATGACCAAAAAAAAAAAGATCCTACATATTCTTCAATGGCCATAGATATTGCACTTCCATTGGGGCTTGGAGAAGTTTTTGTTACAGCTTGATTTGTTGAACAGCTGATTTGTTAATTCTTTTAAACTTAATGTATTCTACTTTAGTAGCCTTTTTTGCATTTCTCAGTGCTTTAGTTTGGAAAATAAAATTTACATTTATCCTTAAAAAATATTATGAATGGATTACTAAATGTGAAGAACAAATTAATTGTCATTTGTTATCATCTTGTTGTGAAAATTTTTATTCAATTCAGATTAAAACATACCTTGGGACAGCAAGCATGGAGGATTCAACATCTCAGAGCACCCATGTATACTCACTGAACGGGCCATGCAAGGCTCTGTTGCAGCAAAACCTCCACCATGGGAACCAGAATGAATTGCCAAACAATCGGCTGTAATTACACCTGCTGAAAGTGGAGAACCTGCCAAGAAATTCTGCGCATTCCCCCCTTCCAACACGGGCACCACAGGTGAATACAATGAATAGTAAGCAACACCGGGAGGACCAAGTGGACCACTTTTCGATTTTGGTCGCCTCTGGGCAGGTGCAGTCGACTGGCTTCCACAGCCATCCCCAGAAACAGGACTAAATATCCACCTCTCTGCATCTTCCCACTTAGAAGGCAAAGTCTTTCCATTGTTCAAGGGCAAGAATGAACTACTCACCTGCTTCCTGCCCCCATTACTATGCAATGGTACTCGCTCAGAGCTCCAACCCTTTTGCATTCCACCACTTGTGTGAAGATAATTTGGAGTCCCTGGACTGGGAAATGCACCAGATTTCCTGCCCGTAACCAAGCTTTTCTTCATGTTTCCTAATCGTGGAGAAGAAGCGGTAGCATTATTCAGATCTAGAGAAGCAGGTCTTCGCCTGTCAAGCTTCTTGGACAGAACTTCAGATCTGGATCTCCTATCCTGACACTCTATTCAATATTGCAGTCAAAATACTACTGTTTTCTACCAGCAATTCACCAGAAACAGTCTACAAAGATTGATGACTAGTGAGTAACTGAGTACCTTTAATAGCAAGAGAGAATGAGCTTCTTGCAGAATCTATGAGTTGATTTTCATCTTCCATTCCTTCATCACCGGCGTCCTTTTGAACTGTTAAAAGGAAGTAGTCAGCAGATGGGTTTGAAATTTCGCCAACACTGAAGACTTTGTTGCTGTAACCTTTTTTCCCCTTTTTTCTTTTGTTTCAAAGAAACTAACAATAATCAAATAAAGAAGCAGTACCTTTCTCTTTTTCTCCTTTTCTGGGAACTATTAGTTGTTTGTTTGGGTCTAGATCTGGGCCACTTGAACTCTCGTTGTGCTCTCGATCATGTCCTGCCAAATGCTACAATAACAATTCATAGATTTTTTTATCATCTAGTAGATTCAGTCCATAGAAAAAGTACTATTTCCAGATTGTATCCTAACCACAAAAAACTATCATCGCTTGATATTAGATCTCACCTAGCAAATATATACTGAAAACGAGAAAATAGGAAAAAAGCATTCATCTCTCTGTTCTTTTGGTTTTCAGAACTTTTCTATCCGGCCAAAAAAAGGGAAAGAATTCCCCTTCGCACATGCACCTTAGCTCTGTTAATCAAAATGCTTTATGAGATCAGGGAAACCAATCAACCAGCTTAATTCAACACTTCGAAGTAGCTCTTCGACTTAAAACTCAAAAATCGAACTCGATCAACCAAAACTCTCTCGAATCTGTGCGCATGCACTCTACTACACAGAGCGATTCTCTTCCTAACACACTAAATTAGGAAATTCAAGACGCTGAGACATAAATAATGCACATAAACACAGAGAGGATTGACGCACCAGGGAGAGTTCAGAAGCGAAGGAGTCGCGATCGTGAGCATCGGAAGCGAAAGAGCAGCGATCGACACTCGCGGAAGCGGAAGAGAAGAGACTGAAATTGGATTCCAGAGTGAAAATCACAGAATCAGGACTAGAATCTCGAGCTTTGTACATCGAAATCATCGAGCTGTGCTCCTGATCAGCCATTTTTCACCAAAACAGAAGCAGAAAACGTTAACTGAGATTGGATTCTTTCTCCATTTATATAAGGAAATCTGTTTCAATCTTTGTTGTTATTTGGCGGGTACAAGGTTAAAAACTTAAAATTAATAAAAATTGCATAATTCTTGTTTTATTGTCTGATTTTATTTTTTATACATAAAAATTAAGAATTAAATCTTAAATTTAAACATAAAAACTAAAAATTAAATCGTAAATTTATAATTAACAATATAAAAAGTTTTATTATTAAAATAACAATTTCAACTTTATTAAATTACAAAGTTAAGATGAAGGCTCGATACCAATTGTCCTATTTTATTTAATGGTAATTATTTTGTAATTTAATAATATATATAACTGTAAAAAGGTTTTTTTATATTATATTTAACATGAGAAAAAGACAACCTTTATCGACTTTTTAAAACCCATAAATATTTTAATTGATTGAAGGTGAGTTGGTTCGCTGCTTTTGATGTTTAAGAAAGCTTTTAATTAGATTGACTGGGAATTTGACTGAGCTAAAATGACGGTGGGGCCCTCCGGATTTATTCTATTGAAGGAATGAAGTCACGAGGTTAATAATGGCATTCGACTCTATGTTCCGGATAAGACAGAGGGCCAGAGGGGCAATAATGACAGCTTATCAAGTAAAGAATGACCGAGGGTTGGATCAAGCGGTAAGCGATTTGTTTCAGCTTAAGTAAGGTTTCGAGTTCGAGTCCTTGTGTATGCAGCAGTCCGCGCTGAATACTCATTCACCATTTTCAGGTGCGCGACGCGGGTTGGGTCCGGATTAATCGAGGTAAAACTTCGGATACCGGGCGGAAAACCAAAAAAAATCAAGGAAGGAATGGTGGCGTTTGCGACGGAAACGGTACCGTTAGAAAAAATATAGGGTGCTTGGTGGAGCTTTCTTTTTCGAATTGTTTGTAAATAATTCTCACAAATTTTAAATTTTATGGGAGGGATAATTTTCTATTAAGTGGTTCTTGTGAAAAAAAAAAAAAAAAAAGAAAAAACTCAAATTTGGAGCTTGTAGTATATTTATAAGTTTAAAATTCTTATTCCAACAAAATTTAAAATTTAAAATTTATATGTTGAAAATTTATTTATAACTAACTTAAAAAAGAAAAGAAATATCATTAAACATTTTTTTAAAAATAATTTTTATATTATTTTTTAATAAAATTTGACATATTGTTTAAATAATTAATTTTTTTATTTATATGTGACTTATGATATTAAATATATTCA